TTGTAAGAGGCAACTAACGGGATCAGGTGGTCAGGTCATCGCTGACTTGGTTGACACATGTCATCGGTTCCCAATTGCGTAGATCGATGCTCATCCTGTTGATCACTGGATTGTCTGGTCCAGACTCGATTATTTACAGACCGCCGCCATATAGTTGGAATATCCCTGCGTGCGGCGTAAAACTAAACTCACTCACTCACGCATTAGCATGTCAACTTCTCCCCTATAAGTAGAAAGTAATAACCTTGTTTTGGTGCAATAGCTTCAGACTTGCAGTTGGATGTGGCAGCCAAACAATTACCCCATATGATGAACGTATGTGTATATTCTGCCCTGCAAGGGCTATATTGAAGATGAAAGACATGTACTCCTAATATGCAAGTGAGACGGGAATGGTTTCCAAATTACTTGATTAATCCACCAACCGCTGAAGCATTTATGAGACTGATGCCGGGTGACGATATCCACAATAACAAATGTTTGAGGATGATGGTTGTATACAATTACGGCATTTGCAGTCGGGATCAATAGTACTAAAGTTTTGAGAATTATATAGTCCTGATGGTGACGTTCTCCCCGTTTGTTGGTATTTGTTGGCAAGTCTTATGATGGTGGAATGATGGCAACCAAATCGTCTGGCAATAATCCTGCTTGATGTGCCAACCTGCAACATGCCCAGCGCCCGTTCTCCGTTAGGGGTAGCCTAGTGGTTAAAGCATGCGCTCGTCAGACCCAAGACCTGCGTTCGATTCCCAACATGTGTACAATGTTTGAAGCCCATTTCTGGTGTCTAAGCGTAAAATGCAAAGTAAAACAATACCCACTACAGTCACGTGCAAAGTAAATAATTTACCTTTAGAAAGAAGAGTGGTAGAACCCAATATCTTGAACAGCATTATATCTTCAGCAACATTCAGCGCTATGATACACTAACATATCTGTCCGACATGTCAAATCCATCCTTTGGTTACCAGGCATGTAAGCCCGATGGGTTGCAAAGCTTCATATTTAGATAGCATTGAAGGCTTGTCTAACCTTTTAAGCAACAATCATGTGTAAGTAGCACGAGCTTTGTTATAATGGTAGCTTCGGGTCATGTGATATGTCTTTGTCAAGGTACCTCTTTCCTCTTTGTCCTTGACACTCTAGAAGATCCGGATTAGAGTTCGTCTTCAGAAACCCCTGCTTCTTGAAAAAGGCCAATAGGCTAATAGTTTGTGTTTCCTAAAGACACGCACTATCATTCACAATTCAAACTAATATAAGTTAGTCTCTTTATTTCATCATATTCCCATTCCCATTCGAGCTGGTCAGCTCGAATCCAAGCAAAAATCCATCTTTTACATCCAGCGTGTATTTCGAATCAACCCTGTGCACTTAAAAGAACCCACGAATCCGTTGGTAAATGACCAGATGGTGGCCACATAAATACGTGCAAAGAACAAGTTGCGGGTACAGCAACGTGCAGTAAACATGGACAAAGTACTTTGACTCTGTGTCCTAGTCCACCCAGCTGTGAGTGAGTACTTCGCACGGATGGGAAAGCCCCATTAATTTGGTGCGCCTAGGGGCTGCAAGAGTTCTATAGTTCCCAAGGAGTTGACATTGGAATTATGATGTGCGTTGAGATTGACATCCAATGATCGAGGGAAAACAATACCAGCGCCTTGAGCATGTACTAGTTGCGTGGATATGTGCACTATGTAAATATCCAGTAAAAAAAATATATCCTATAATAACAAAATAATACTGAGCTCATTTGAGCATGCATGTGAGATGGACTATAGTGCTATATAAATACCCATCTAATATAACATATAATAATACTAATCATAATGCAGCCCATGAAGATCCTTGTTAAAACTGATCTTCAGTAACCCATGCTTATCGTATGAGACGACTAACAGGATCGGGTGGTCAGGCTCGCTGACTTGGGTGGACACATGTCATCGTATTTCAATTGCGTATATCGATGCTCATGGTGTGATCACTAGATTGTCTGGTCCAGAATCGATTATTTACAGACCGCCGTCATAGCTGGAATATTGCTGAGTGCGGCAATCTAATATTGCAACAATTTTATGTTACATTCTGCATTATTAATGTACGGATCCTCATTTAATCATTATCCAGGTGAGTACACGTTTTGATAACACCATACATCCTGGATTTCGGATTGAATAACATCCCGTTCAGAGAAGGATCGATGTTCTTGGCGATATCTGAGTAAATGACATCTCCACTCTTCATCGTGTCCGATAATGGTAATGTGTAGTTCTATTACAAGTTTTTGATTGCACTGATTCGAGACACAAGATTTATACTATTACCGGTGTCACATTGTTAGGAATCTTGAGTCTTAATTATTAGGCACGCTATCATGCTGGAATATTGCTAAAGGCGGCATAAAACCGAGCTCACTCACCCACTCTTAGTATAGTAGTGGAATCGAGGGTAAGCCAAAAATCTGAAAGTATCACGAGGTATCCTTGTACCTTTTCACTATAAATGTATCAATTTTGTTCTGTAGATATAGCATGTGTGCATGTGTGCTGTCTTATCTCTTATCTCGTATAAACCTCAACCCTCCCACTGTACATATCTTTATGCGCTTTTCCTTTCAGGCCACAATGAGGTGATTTAATGCCGATCCCAGAATACGTTTTTGATCGAACACGCGTTCTAGCGTAAATGTCCTGAATGGCCTTATCTTGTCAAGTGGTATTTCTGTACATACTTTAAATGCAGTATTCAGGGTAAACATGTGACACGCAGACAGGCAGGCGAGCTCTCGTTCGCGCGCACAGAGAGAGAGAGAGAGAGAGAGAAACTCACCAACCCTTTCATTCTGTTAAAGCGTTTAATATGTACTTGATTGGGACATTTTATTTTTTGCATGAAATTGAAAAACCTCTTACTTCTCTGCGTCATATTGTTTCGTCAAACGTTATCATAGTATTGCACGGAAATCTAAAATAGAATATTGATGTAATGTCATAAATGGTGTCTAATATATTTCAGCAGAGGTTATCAATATTTAGAACTGTGCTGTATTGCATGCAATTATTGGCATTCTGCCAATGAACTACTTAATGGGTGGTGTGGTAGCCCAGTGGCTAAAGCGTTCGCTCGTCACGCCGAAGACCCAGGTTCGATTCCCCACATGGGTACAATGTGTGAAGCCCATTTCTGGTGACCCCGCCTTGATATTGCTGGAATGTTGCTAAAAGCGGCGTAAAACCAAACTGACTCACTATACACTACTTTAAATACTAACATTGCCACACAACTCCACAATCTCACAAGGAAATTGTGTTCAGACAAATCAACAATTGACGAAAAGATTGGAATGAAATTGCCCAGACGTTTACGCTTTCGGTGAATTCAGGATAAATGTGACAAATTTTATGTCGGCTGTTTCTTACAAAGAGAGTGGAATTCATTCAAAGCTGTAACCTGACACGTATTCCGTAAAAACGTAGTACAGTCATTGTGAGCTGGTCCATGACGACCGCCAGCTCTATCGAACCTTGACAAAACACATTTTTAACGTGGTTAAACAGAATTGCTTTCCCACAGAGAACGTGGATTATCTATTTTTGTTCCTGACGTGTTTTGTACAGAGTGAACAGACAGATTTTCCAACGTTGTTTAAAGCATTATATCTAAATGAAAGCATACTTTATGCTCCGACATGTTGTCATGCTGAGCTGCACCCAAACATGAAAAATACTATTGCTACAAAATTAAATAACATAAATGTCCGCACCGAAACATTTTTAAAAATGGTTCATTTAAAATAACATGTAACTCAAGAAAGGAAGAGCACAAATAAGAAAGTACAATGTAGTTATTGTATATATTCTACACATGGTTCAGGTTTGTTATCTTTAATGATTCATGAGGGTAGAAAAACCTTTATTGTCCTTTATGTAACGTTGGAATAGAAAATGAAATTAATTTTGCACTGATATGTCCTTGTTATCACGAATTAAGGTAGAAATATATACCAGACCATTTACTAGCATAACAACCCCTGTATCCATATATATCTTTGTTACAAGCTAATAATGAAATTATTCTTGTTCAATTGACTTAGTATATAAAGCATGCATTAGCAAAAACAAATCTTATAAAACGAATGGCATTCCCTTCAATATCTATGTGAATATAGAATGTTGCTATATCACTGTAACTCTCATGTATATTGGAGGCCTTTTATACAATAAACATCTTATGAGTGAGTGAGTGAGTGAATGAATATTGTTCTACGCCGCTTCTTGTACCCATGTGAGGAATAGAACTCGGGTCTTCGGCGTGCCCAGCGAACGATTTAACCTCTAGGACACCCCACCACCCCCACCCCCACCCGCAAGCAAAAACAACAAAAACACACACAACACAAAAACAACGCAAGAACCCCCAAAACAAACATTTAAAAAAACAGCAACAAACAAAAAAAATCCAACAAACAAACAGACATTGGTACAAGTCCAGGGAGAGACATTCTACACCCGTTACATTCATTCAATTAAGCATCTTCTTGAGAAGTTTGTGGAACTCGGATGGGAATTATGCTTGAAATATACTGGACAAAATAAGTTAGGGATATTGGTATTTTTATGATTGATATTTTATCAGTGTGTCAATGAATATATAGATCATTATTCATAATTTCAAAATTTGCATATATCCCTAACTATTGTTGTCCAGTATACTTAGTCCCTGATGCAGTCAACCGCACTAAAACTCAGAACGTTTCAGTCCCGTTTTACGTACATGGGCGACCACAATATTTATCTGTTGAAGTTTAAAACATGATACTTTCTCTCGCATAAAATGAAATATTGCGCAGTCATTTAACCTTTTTTTTACTCCATAACTAAAGATTTCATCGCGTTCAACGTTGCGCAACTTTGATTGTACCCGTCGAGCGACATTGAAGCTGCATGACTCAATGTTTAAATTCAGTACATCATAAACTTACGACAGCACAATATGTAAGCTATTATGCTCATGTAAGGAACAAATGCTTTTAGTATTCTTAAGAAATATAGCTCTTGAATAGACACGACACAGTGACAACAGTCAGTAGTCTTGGCGCAAACTGTTTGTATTGATACTTCTGATTGTGTAACACAGATTTCACGCCCAGAAATGTGTCAACAGCTATGAACATTCCCTATCGCCAGTCAAGACATACAGAAGGAAGTTGTATAGATCAATCCCACTACATGTACTCCTCAATAGTATCAACACAAGGACTGGGTACGCACACAATTTTCCTGGAAGGAGCTGCGGTAATGCTGTGACAGGTATCGGCTGTGGTCACAGAGAGAAGTCTGAATTTCAAACAGTATGTATCATTTGTTTGTTTTGATTGTTTTTCCTATTCACAATTCTTTAACACATGTTGACCCCTTGGGTTTTACAGGTGCTTGTTGACACATGACAGTTTTATCAGACAAATTATAGGTAGTTTCACAAAAGGTCAAGTTATCCCTAAGTTTTTGGTTTGGTTGTTTTAATGCCCCACTCAGCAATATTCCAGCTATTCCGGCGGTCTGTAAATGATCAAGACTGGACCAGACAATCCAGTGATCAAAATTATGAACATCGATCCATGCTATTTGGATACCATCACATGTGTCAACCAAGTCAGCGGGCCTGACCACCCGAACCAGTTACTCGCCTCTTATGACAAGATTCTAACCCGGATCTTCATGGGTACATTCTCAGTGAACTTGGCGCCGCTTTCGTCGATGAGGTAGGGGCTCGCCACCCCTTCCTGCGATGATGTTATATTACAACGGACAATTTTTAAATGTCCATTTTGAAATTAAACTTTGCTTCATTAGAAACGATAGCTGACGTAAAAGATAATAACTTTAATTCTGAAACTATGAAGGACGTAGCTGCCATGGAATCTCACTCTTACTGTAAAAAGAAACAGGTAGGAGGGGTCGTCTCAAAAGAAAATCCAGGGCGGGTGTCGCAGACGGTGGTTGGGGTCGGGCTGGGGGATAGAGATATAAACTGAGATAAGATAATCCTTTAGGGGATTTAAACTGGGAAGCAAACGGCGTGTCATAACAATTTACAAATAATATCCAGTCCTGTCGATCTTCGGGTGGTCATGCCACCTATATATTTTGAGACATTTAATACGATGGCTGATTTAAGCTTTTCCATGGGTATCATACCCTTTTACGTATCTCCACATAAACTTTTAGATCAATAGATGAGACATATTCAACACACATGAAAAAACATAAAATATCATTGAGATGACCCCTTGTGCCTGTAGGCAGGACGTGCATTTCATGCCAGGTGAGACGAGGGCCCCTCGTGTTTTTTCTATTTCCGACAGTACTTTAGTACTTAAAATCCACTCGACTGGAACAGGTTGTGTAATGGACGGGTAGTCAAACTGGTTTACTCTCATTCTGCCTACATCTCATTCTACAGACCTAATAAAAGTGTAGGCAGAATGAGAAAAATCAGGCCACCCCTAATTTAGAAATGAACTTGCCCATGACAATAACAAAACACAATCTTCATTGCATTTATATTTTATCTATAGTAGATAACATGCTATATATGAAATATAGACATGTACACCAGAAATCATATTGATTGTAATGACATCATCATCATCATCATCACCATCATCATGATCATCATCATCAATCTACAATTTCAAGAGATGACCAGAGGCATCTAAAAACTAAAGCTTTGTCCTTCGACCTTGATGAAGGGCCTCCTCATATGGTTTTGCATGGCTCGTACCTCTAACTGCACCGCATATTGTGCGTAAGGCATCTGGGAGTAGTCATTATGGAAATGAACCTACTAATGCCTGAGTCCAAAAGTTATATATTGCAATCAACAACAGGTGGTGGCAAAGTGATGAGATCCCTTCCCTCAGGTTCATTCCCATCATGACTACTCCCAGTACTAAATAAACACAAACTTCTATACAGATTGATATAGTATGTTCCAGTTCATTTAGACCACTACACTTCTAGTCCTTAGACAATCATTTAGAAGCCAACATTTATTAAATAGGAAGCAGCTTCAGCAAACATGAAACCGACAATTTCGCCACATCGATATCTGGTCTTCAGTGTGTGGAGTTGAGTCTGCATATCTTGATACTTCTACTTGCACTTTAGTTGTCTGCCTGTGGCCTGGGGTTGGATGATTGAAGTTTCATTCTTGGCCTACTTGGTCTTGATGACACTGATGAACTTGTACAGATTAAGATGGGGTGTCTTGATGGCGTTGTCGAGTTTATGGTGCCACCCATCAAGATGGTGTGTTGTACGGGGACCCTGGGTGTCAAAGTGGTTCCATGTCTGGCGACCTTCTTTCTTCTTTCTTTATGTCCACTTTATGTCCACCTATACTATATATACAGGCTATAACTCAGAGCGTTAATCCCTTGTAACAACATCACACTTTTTGACTTTTGGTAAGGCGGGAAAAGGGGAAATTGGATTTTAGGCTAGGCGGGAGGACACCCTTTACACATTCGAAGGGGTATGAGAAACGTATTTATTCCATTCAAAGGGAAAGAAAGAAAAGGATGGGCAAACAAGCTTATATTAATACTACACCAGAATACATGTGGAGGTTCACATTTATGCGTAATGTTGTAAATAATAGTTATCTATAATGACAAGTTATCTCTGGATAATAACAATCTTAGATAGCAACAATTTATCTTAGTTTTGTTTAATGTCCAGTTGATACAAATTGGAAAATAATAGAAACTACAAATCTTTTATGAATCAAATCGTTTTGATGAACTGACTGTAGAATATCCATATTCATAAATCCATATTCGTCAGATTATTATCATCTAGCACATCCCGCAGGGAGAAACCTTTCGCATAGAAATATGATTCGTATCGAATGCTATTAAATTTAGGACACATAAAAAAATAAAGGAATACATCCTCATAATCTTGTGAGATGGAACAAGAAGCATTACCAGAAATGAAACTATTATATTTATCACTGTTTACGTCACTGCATCCCAACCTAAGGCGGCGGTATGTTATTTGGCGTAAATATATTCATTCATGTGATCATGACATAATTAGTCGTTGATATAAACTAAGAATAGTAACGGTCCAGTGTATTATTTGACAGAATCGACTACCAAAACTTAGATCGAACATTGTTTGCATTAACTTGTGGTGTGGTCATTCCCCATCACTCTTTAGTTACTGTCTAATTAAGCGAATCTACTGCTACACACAAAAAACAAAACAAAAACAAAACAAAACAAGAGTGAATATCCATACAACTTCAATGAGCTCTTCTTTGTCAGACAAATAATGATGAAGGCATTATGTGACTCGTATTGACTGAAAAAAAGCATCTCGCGATACCTTTTGAGTCTTAAAGCAGCTTTAATGAATGAAAAACGATTTATGTATGACAATGATGTCTTTTCAATTACATTTGAAATGTTTCGTCCCATATGAACAGCACTCCCACCAACCAATACGCCCATAACCAGGTTTACTGTAACATAAAGCTTGCACGTTGTAATAACTGAATACAAGACAAAAAATTAATTAAAATTGAAAGTTTCTCCATGACGGACAGGCTTCATGTACAAAAAGGCAACATAAAGTGTATCGAGTTTGTTTTTACATCATTGAATTTTAATTTAATTGATTTTAATTTGATTTCTTGTTAAAATATATTTGTGAACTTAGGGTGGCCTCTGAGTCGGATCTGTAAGCAGTGTTTCTGTTCTACGATATATTCATTTCAAGGTAATTCTGTAAGGCTAATGTCGAAGAGATACACGCATGTTTTGTGTTTCATTTCATGTCTGTCTGAAACAATATTTAAGTGATTCAAATAGTTTGCTTAAGAACATCATAGTGTCCGAACTGAGGACTGGGAATTGTAAGAAAAAAAACATGTTTCAGACATTTGAAGCAAGTTGTCACCCACTTAAAATACAAAAAAACCTCACAGGTCTGATGATTTTTATAAATGCTTACTACCATCTTTGGATTTCTTTGAAATGGTTTTGTCGTATGAATATAACAAGGTGCCTTTCATAATTTGCAGGTGTGGATAATGAACCATCTCATTTTAAAATCCATGAAAGTTCTTGATGGACAATGACAGAAGCTGGTCGTGAAATATCAGGTAAAACAGATCACTACTCTTTGTGACGTCACCGCCTTTGTTAGGGCAATGTTGCACATGCCATCATATACCATCACTGAAGAATAACTCATCATAATTGTGTCAAATAATACTAACTAATAGAGCAATGAACACTTCATGCGGCAATTTACTGGCTTTCGCAATCCTCGAATCTTTGGGATTGTTCCTTTGTTCCGTTCTGGCATTATTTATACTGTTGAACAAATAAGTCATACTCGAAAATAACGTACGATTTCCAAAACTGTAAAACATATAAATTCTTTAGTTATAGTTGTGTAATATAAATGAACAAATCTGGAGCTCGTTACAAGCCAAGGACAATAGGGCTTTATGCTACACCAGATGTTTCATCAATGCTCCATATTTGGACCATGTGGAACACCAGTGCTGGTCAACCTCCATTAGACCAGGGGATTAATGGTCATACAGTTTGTGAGCACAACGCCTCAGTGAGTTACATTTGCCTAGGACGCGCAAACGCAGACGCATTGTATCAACACTGATGGGTCTGTTGTCAGTCCCAATGGTCTGGCGTGCTGTTTCCGTCGCTCTGGGGAAGCGATCCTGCAGATCTGTCGGTCTTGACGTTGTAATGTTACTGAATATCGCCCACTGCGTGGACGGTCTTGGATGCTGTTAGTGACCTGATACCACTCCTGCAGTCGGTAGCTTGTCCTAACATGAAAATTGAAATGATTGGCTACCATCCGTGCAGTCTGGCCAACTTGCAGTTGTCCCAAGACTTGGATCCTCTGATCTCTTTTATTGTGTCAAAACAAAATGATTTCAGGCGAGTTTGGGACTCGTTTTTATTGGTAGGGTTGTCACGATATGCACGTGCATTTTCATTTTCACGAATGTCATACGGAACCTTTTACCACGTCTGCCTTTTTAGATGCATTTGGTCGGTATGCTTTTTAATCAGAAAACACACTGATGTTGGTAATAACTGTCAATGTGGATTGAAAAACATGTTAACAAAATGATACAATCGTTATAAAAACACCACTTTGTAAGAAGAAACTCTTGCATTTGGTTTTCAAAGGTGACGTTTCTTTTGTGGTTCAGTATATATATCTGCTCTCTTGCCCGTTATTATAGTAGTATTTCATTTACACTATATCAAACGTTTATAACTTCCCAATGTACCTTTTCAAGTTTGTGATTTGAACCCTGCCCCTTTCTTTGTTTATACACAGTAAAATTCTTCTCGACTATAAAACATATGAAATTTATAATTTGCATCATTTTCATGCAGTTAATACTGTTAATCTCAATCTTGATCCTTGTAACCTACGTCCTCAAATCTTAGGAGTGGACTGTGTGAGCCAAGCAGTTTGTTGTGGCCAGTTCCAAGGCCACAAGACTTTCAGGAGGGTGGGAGGTGTCCTACTAATTATTGGCTGACACGTTTACTGTTGATGAGAGATTCTACATGATAGGCACTTCTCTTGCATTTCGCCTCGGATTTGTTTGTGTGTCCCACCGGTGGGGCTGGGTCACCTCGACTTTCATGATTCATTCTTGAGATTTCAAAAGCTCGCAGTCAGGCAGATATCTATTACGATTATGGAAATAATTTTGACGGTTTTATTACCTGATGAACATTAGAGATAAATAGGACCGCACTTCTAGCCGGGACTATTGTTGCGACCCTATTCATTACGGTTCTGCCTCATAAGCAACGAGAAAAGCGACACAGACATTACCCAAACTGTATGTTTCTAATGTCTGGTGTTTGCGAGTTACTCAAACACTTGACAATGACATATAACAAAATGTTGAGAGGTAGGCCAAAGCTGTTAGGTGTGTTTACGAAACGAACATACTTCTGTAAGACTTGGGTAATTGCTGTGGTTGTGTAACAATTACGTCACGGGAAAAGGGATGGGCAAGTGTGTCTATTGCGCGAAGTGCTCCAGTCAAAGATGACACAACACAGAAAGACAGTAATAATATGTATTAAAATAAAAGTCTTGGTAACAGAGTTGCAAGTTCCGACTGCACAGTCCAGGTGAAACCTAAAAAACAGGTTGGCTTGTTGTCACCTCAACACTGCAGGCAGAAAGAGCCATTGTACAGATACAATAATGAAAATCAACAATAATGCGACTGATATATATCCCTCCTACTTGTGATTAGTTTCATATAATCTATATCAACCTTCAACTTACAGGTAAGTCTCGTTTAATCTTCGATTATATTTCAACCAATCACGACGTAGATCGTGATCACGTGACATGTTCAAAGCCCAGGGTTTCAAACAAATGAGAGAGAGTTTAAGTAGAATTTAAGAGAATCTTTAATGATCTAACCTCTTGCAAGATAACAAGTCCTGCATTGCTACACAAACATAACAATGAGAACGCGTAATGTGTGGTATAATACCAATTCAGTTGTTATTAAGTAAAGCTAATGCAAATTATTGTCAGTCATTGGTTTGTCATACAACTTGCAGAACTACTCCAGCCAGCTGTTTTCAGTATAGTCTGGAGCGGTACAGAGTGTCTCAAAGCTGCACTGGTAGACGCCATTCTGGTACTGTGCTGGGTGAAGACAGTCATGTCCACCCCACTCGACTGCAACACCTGTCTAATCCAGCGGGACACAGTATCCTTACTCACAGCCTTCTATGGCCGTGTGTAGCTAATAAACAACTGATTGACACGTCGCGCACGGGAGCGGTTTTAGCCAGGTATTCCAGTAAAACACTCACAATACACAAACTTGTGTCCTGGGAATATGCTGGCAAATTTAGCTCCGCCTGGTGAACGCGAGGTTTTGACTGCTTAAGAAGACTACCTACTCTTAGTCTACAACAACTATCCGACAAAGTAACATCTCTAATGTCTAGCAAATGAACGGTCTGCAGTCTTTGTCCTGTGAAGAGGGCTATCAGAGCAACTGTCTTGAGGGTGAGAACTTTTAAAGAAAGTTCTTTCAGAGGCACCAGTGTTTTAAGGTAAATAAGGACCACGTTTGTATCACTGTGTTCCTGGGAAGCGAGGGACGAGCCTTGAAAACTCCTTTCATGAATCGGTTGATCAGTGACATGTGAACCGAGGGTTGCACTATCTACAGTGATGGAGCTTGAGAGAGCCGATCTGGCTGTGTTTAGCGCACTGTACCCAAGTTTATGCAACTCGTACAGCTCGGTAAGGAAGTCCAACACTTCCGTCACAGATGGACACAGCATATCAATTTCCCTTTGATGAGAAAACTCAATCCATCTTTTGATGTATGAGTACTGGTCAGTGGTGGATTTGCGCCAGGATTGTAGGATAACACTGGCAGCTCTGTCCGAAACTCCTCTCCGTGTGAGAGATTGCCTGATAAGGAAACACTGCAAGTTTCATTCTGCTGAGGGGGTGTCTTGTAGACTCGTTGTGAGGAAGGCGGAGAATCTGGGAGACTGGCGGAAGAGCCACTGGTACTTGGGTGAGGAATCTGAGGAGTCGTGGGAACCATAGTTGCGTCGGCCACAATGGAGCCACTAATGGCATCTGTAGCCTGTTTCGCCAAAGACTTAATGTCTAACTGCTGAACCTTGAGAATTTCGCTTGCTATGTTTAGCATGGGCACTGCTGCTCTGATGATAGGGTTCTGCAGTTTCTGATCTCTGAGGTCATTGGACCGTTCCTGTGATTCAGTTTATCCCAAATTTCTAGATTGACTTTGCTAACTTTGAGCAGGTCACAATTTTGAGGGGACTTGTAATTGGAAAGTTTCTCCTTCAGCTTTTCCTCAGGCATTCTCTTGAACATCATGTTGTTCATCGCCTCTGCTAGCTTTGGTTGTATAGATGGGCCTTGAATGTCTGTGTTGCCGTAATCCTGCAGAAAGGTATCCAAAAGATCACAAGGCTCGCCAACTGAATCCAAGTCAGTGGATGCAGCCCTTGAGTCGGCATCATCAAAGAGTTCTTCCAAGGCCACGCTCTCACTGTTGTTAGACCGCTCAGCTCTCGACCCCATTGCCTCCACCTCCCCTCTCTCTGCCTCTGTGTGCGGGTAATGGTAGCACTGGTTTGGCTAGGTAAACACTTTGCTGTCAACAGAGCTGTCAAAGTAGCTCCAAGAGAGGAAGTAGATTGACTCATTTCCGCCCTGAGTTGATTTGTATCAGCGTTCTGTGTCATCAACTGTACCAAGGCCGAGTCCTGACCTACCTCGGGAGGATTGTCCATGGCGGCAATGCTGGACCCCGCAGGGTTCTCAGCGAGGATGTCACAATGTGAAGAGTAATGTCCAGTATATGCTGGTGCTCCCGTAAGGCTAGCGTCCTGATGTTGCCTGAGATATCCTGTGACCTTGGTCGGTGAGGAATCAGTCCGGTCTGTTAGAGTGTTCAACTCACAGCCTCTGGGAATGTATTCTGCAGAATCCATGCCGTCCGCCATCTTGGCTGACACCCCAGGGGGGTAGTGGTTGATCGCTGCAACTGCTTTTCCCAATATCTGTATTGTCGACGCTCAAACGGTAATTATACACACTAAGAGTGGGTGTTCAAGCTCAAACGGTAATTATACACACTTTGAGCGAAACTGGGCTCAGATCAAGTCGCTGAATTGTCAGAGCTTAATCACCCGTGTCTTCTTCCTGGAATCGCTGAATGTGAGAGGCTACCGCGCTAATGACGTCACGAGGGGGAATCCCCCTCGCTTCCTCTATAGTGTGGGCCGACGTCATGTTGAAAAAAACTCAAGTCGTCCGTTTGTGTAATGACACATGACTGCACAAATGCAAATCTATAGAGCCAAACAAACAATGACAACATACAACTTCTATACACAATATTTAATATACCCGTGCATGCAGAATGGACATGGGTCAGAGAGCCTCCCCAAGCCATCCTTACAATCTATATACAGATGTCTCTTAAAATATACAAATACACTTTACACATCTCTCTACCATGTGGTGCTGGGTGGTGGTGGTGTGTGGTGGTGATGGTGGTGGTGGTGTGTGTTTGTGTGTGTG